TACCGCCCCCCCCCCCGCCCCTTTGAGACAAGGTCCTACCCCGGAACCCAGGTTGACCTTCAACTCTCAGCAATCTCAGGCCTAGAATGATTTTTTTTTAATTGTCTCAGATTTTCCTTTTTTTTTTTTTTCTTCCTTAAATACATTAATTTGGGCTGGACATGGTGGCACATGCCTTCATTCCCTAGCAGTCAGGAGGTAGAGGCAGAGGCAGAGACAGGCAGATCTCTGAGTTCGAGGCCAACCTGGTCTACAAAGAGAGTTCCAGACCGGACAGGGTTATATAGGCAGACCCTGTCCCAAGAAGAAACAAAGCAAAGCAAAGCAAAGCAAACCCAAACCAAACCAAACCCAACAGGGCTAGAGAGATGGCTCAGCAGTTAAAAGCAGGTACTGCTCTTCCACAGGACCCGAGCAATCCCCAGCAACCACGTTGGGTAGCTCACAACTACCTGAAACTCTTGCTCCTAAGGGATCCAATGCCTCTGGCTTCCAAGGGCACATCCACTCACACGCACATACCCATACACACACATATACAGGTAATTAAAAATGAATAAAGAAGCCAGGTGTGGTGGCACATGCCTTTAATCCCAGGATGCCTTTAATCCCAGAGGTAGAATTCAAGGCCATCATGGTCTACATAGTGAGTTCCAGGCCAGCTGGGGCTACAGGAAGGCCCTGTCTCAAAAAGACCAAAAAAACAAAAATAACAAATAAAAAATGAATAAATAAAATCTTAAGGAAAAAAAACCCCAACCCCACTAACTTATTTGTTGGCAAGAAGTCTTAAGATGAAATATACTGTGCTATATTAGAACTAAAAATTGCTAACACCATTCTAAGAATTATTTGACATTGTAAAAATATTATTCTATTATATAAATATGTATATATTATAGAATATATAAATATATAACAGGCATAAATATATACCTTTGTTTTAATGGATTTTATTTCAGTAATATAATCTAAAAATTACTAAGAAATGTAGACACAAATTTAAGCACAAGGTGGGTGTATAGTTGTTATACATCTACAATTATGGCACTCAGAAAGATGAAGCAGGAGGATAATAAGTTTGAGGCCAGCCTTATGCTACATATGACACTATTTCAAAAAACAACAAACACAAACTTATGCATAAACAAGTCAATAAAACTTTATTCACAAAAACATAGCAGAAAGGGAATCATAAGAGAAGAGATCTTGGGGGAGGGACAGTGACAGTAATAGGCTACATGTGACAAGAAAACAGAAGAGGGTGGGGGGTGGGGATGTAGTTCAGTTGACAGAGTGATTGCCTGGCATGCACAAAGCTCTGGGATTGATATCCAGCACTGCATAAACTCAGTGCAGTGGTGCATACCTATAATCCCAGCACTTGGGAGGGGGAGTCAGGAGGATCAAAAGTTCAAAGTCATCCTCATCTCCAAGACAGCTGGGGCTATACAGTGACCCTATCTCAAAGAAAAGAAAAGGAAGGTAAGGGCAGATAAGAACAAGGAAGGGAAAGAAAAAGGGAAGAAAGGAATAGAAGTATAATGACACACGTGTGAAATCCCATAATGAAACCCATTACTTTGTGTGCTAGACTAACAAATGACATTTGCAAACTAGAACATGTAAAGTACAAAATTATACCATATCTAAACTGGAAAAAAAAACCCTATTAATATATTTTAAAAGGATCTTAATAAATAGCCCTATCCTAAGCTGGGTATGGTGGTACTCACCTTTAATCTCAGCACTTGGAAGGCAGAGGCAGGTGGATCTCTGTGAGATTGAGGCCAGCCTTGTCTTCATAGTGAGTTCTAGGCCTGCTAGAGCTACAGGGAGACCTTGTCTCAACAAAACAAAACACCCTCCCTCCTGCCAAATATTCCTACTTTGTAAATGTTTTTCATTTTTAAATTTTTATATGGGGGCACACATGTGAAGGTCAGAAGACAACTGGAGTGATTCTCTCCTTCCACTATGTGGGTTCTGAATTCAGGTTGACAAGACTTGCTAGTATGTGCTAAGCCATCGTGCCAGTCTTTACCATATAAATCTATTTATAAAAATGTATTAGAAGAATACAGAACATCAGGCCAGGTGTGGTTGTGCATGCCTTTAATCCCAGCACTTGGGAGGTAGAATTCAAGGCCAGCCTGGCCTATGTAGTTAGTTCTAGGCCAGTTGGGGCTGCAGGAAAGCCCTGTCTTAAAAAGACCAAAAACAGCCGGGCGTGGTGGTGCGAGTCTTTAATCCCAGCACTTGGGAGGCAGATGCAGGCGGATCTCTGTAAGTTCAAGGCTAGCCTGGTCTACATAGTTCCAGGACAGCTGGGGCTATAGGGAGACCCTGTCTCAAAAAGACCAAA